TGATATCTCTCGGTGTCGCCACGTTCATGTCAGCAATTCCGGCTGGTTTAGCTGACTGAACTTTACCTTCCCCCAGACCTGGTAGCCATGCATCAGCCCATACTTGAACCTCCCTTCCATTCCCAACTCTCCGCCTAACATTATTTTTCAGCACACTTTGGGTTTCAAATATACTCCGCCAAATATAGGATGGGTTATTACCCATCTTTGCCTTCAAAAACTCTGAGTTAGGGAAGTGCATGGCTTTCAAGATATGCCCCATCAGACACTCTGAATTTAATAGTAACCTCCAACATTTCTTAGCCAACATAACACGATTAAATTCCCTTAATTTTCTGAAACCCAATCCTCCCGACCCCTTCGGTTTGCACATCAACTCCCACCGCCTCCACCTAATTCCTTTTTGTTCAAATTTTGTTCCTTTCCACCAAAACCCGCTCATGAGCTTCTCTTTCTCATCACATAAATCACGCGGTAATAGAAAAACATTCATGGCATAAGTAGGCATAGCCCGCACCACATTGCGGAGTAAAATAACCCTATCACCCCGTGATCAAAAGCGATTATTCCAGCATTTTATCCTGTTAAAAATTATATCTCGAAAGTAGCCAAGAATACCCGATTTCCCCGCCCTATCAGACTCAGAAGCCCAAGATATCGCTTCTGCCCGCCATCCTGCACAACTCCAAAAAAACTACAACACTAATCTTTAAAAGGCTCGATAACATTATGGCTGAAAGTAACTGTAGACTTTGAAAACTTAATCGCCTACCCTGAAATTTCCTCATACTCCTGCAAAATCTCCTTCACTGCATTACATTCGTGACTGGAGGCTTTAAAAAAATAAGAAACTATCATCAACAAAAAATAAGTGGGTTACACGTGGGGCTCCCCTGCATACTGCAACACCATGAATATCCCCTCTCTGCTTAATCTTCCGTAATAAGGCACTCAAACCTTCAGCTAAGAGAATACAAAGATAGGGGGATAGGGGATCCCCCTATCGTAGTCCCCTTCCCGGGCTGATAGGACCCAAAAATCACCATCAAATTGAATGTAGTAGCTGACAATTCTGACACACTCCATAATGATATGAACCCATTGACTATTAAACCCCATCTTGCATAAGATCCTCTCCGAGATGGCCCGATCAACTCTATCATTTGCCCTACTCATATCAAGCTTGAGCGCAATAAATCCTTCCTTTCTGTAGCTCTTCTGCTTCAAATAATGTTAAGTCTCAAAAGAAACAATAATATTATCAATTATAAATCTTCTCGGAATGAATGCACTCTGGCTCTCACCCACCAGAGTATTCAGAATTCCTTTTAGCCTGTTAGCTAACACTTTAGAAAAAATTTATAAACTGGTTTATCTTTTTGTGGATTCAGGACAATATTTGTAATATTAATGTTTGTAGCTAAAACTCCCACCTCAAACATATTAGCACACATGGCCGAAATCTCTGAGGCCACAACACCCCAGTAGGCCTGAAAAAACGCTGGGTTCATGCGTTCACTTGGGAAACCCATTAAGTTTTAGTCATATTCTAGGAAATTTCCCATACTTAATTAGTTAATTATGTATTTAATTTTGTATTAATGTTGTAATTAATTAGTCATAATTGATGGTGGCGGTTATCATTTGTAAACTCCTATAAAAGATAAGTTGTAATTCAAATTGAGACTAACTATTTTTGGCAACCAAGTTCACCTAACATTTTCCATATTTCACACTTACTATTTTTGCACGTCAAAAGGTTTACTAAAAAGCTTACAAGCTTATATTTTTGGATCAACAAAATACTTAGATGAACTGAATAATGATTTTAATGAATTTATAAGGGGTTTTCCCGTGAATATTACTAATTAAAAGTCATGAAAAAAATATTACTTAATGCCCATTAGTGACTACAATGCAAATTTCAATATGATTAGAGCATCTCCATTCACAATCTCTAAGGGCATCCTCATTGGGAAGATTATTACAAGATTAAATTGGTGACATTACAGTTTTTTTAGAGAATTATCAATGAGTGACATAAATTATTTAATAGGATTATTTGCTACAATAATCTGGGATCAAAATATGAATCCGGATTATTTTAAGATTATTTGAAAAGTATATGTAATAGAGATAAATGCGGGACAGAGAAAAAAAAGATTATTTGAAGATGATGATTGAGAGACATAAACGAATTTTGAGATTATTTTATAATTAATTACATAACAATATTTAAATGGTAAGAATCATATAAAAATTGATTATTAGAGATCATGAATGGAGATGCTCTAATAATCAATTTTTTCTATAATTCTTACCATTTAAATATTGTTATGTAATTAATTATAAAATAATCTCAAAATTCGTTTATGTCTCTCAATCATCATCTTCAAATAAACTATTTTTCTCTGTCCTACATTAATCTCTATTACATATATATACTTTTCACATAATTTTAATATAATCCGGATTTATATATTGATCCCAGATTATTGTAGCAAATAATCTCATTAAACAATCTATGTTACTCAATGATAATTCTCTAAAAAAAACTGCCATATTACCAATTTAATCTCACGATAATCTTCCCAATGAGGATGCCCTTATAGTTATTAATAGCTACTAAGTACCGAGTAATATTTTTGTCCACACAATTTAATTAGTAATATTAATGGATTTTTTAAATTTATAAAGATGGTACATTTGATGAATTTTAATAAAATTCTTTTTTTTTTTGAACCGAATTTTAAGGCTCCTCCTTGGCACACTTCTAGAAATGCCAGGCGCACCTTTTGTCTCCCATGATTGGGCAAATTTATCCTCTCTTATTTCGTAAGTTGAAATTCCAGCATCATTAATTAATTAATTAATTATTTAATACTTAAGGAGCACACACGCCACATGCCCACACCCAACTAACGTTAAATTGTTAACCATTTGCAAACTTGATTTTTGTCCAATAGTTTTTAACAATGTGGCAAGCAATTATTATTTTTATAAGATGCGATAACTTTTTCATTTGTGTTCCTAATTTTAGGAATAATATATTAAATTAAATAATTTGTTATAATCATTCGTATAACACCAGTATTATACATGTAAAATTAAAAAAATCTAGTCATGTTTAAGCTTGATCCAATGAACGTCTGACAAACGTATATTTTACTAACGTATAAATTTAGGAAACATTTACTATGAGACATTAATTTATAATTATAATGTTAATAAGGATTTTTTAATCGGATTGAAATTGTTTTGTCATATCTTGTATGATCTGATTTGGTGTAATCTGTTTAAATTTGTTCAAATGGATCCCTTCATGACTCTTGTATTGCTCTCTTTTAAATAAAAGAAGATAGATTTTCACATTTTGATATTAATCGCTTCATTTGTCCTGCTATCTTCATCTCAGGTTTTCTCTTTGATATGTTTCATTTAATTTGTTGCATAAAAGTTTTTGTACTACGTAATATTTAGTGGTCATATATCCTTTAATACATCTTTGCATTGAATATTATCTTTTATATATTTAATTTTTTCTATTTTCGATCCCTCGATTATTGTGTCTGTGACACTTTGGTACTCGACATTCAACTTTTTTTTTTGGTTACTCGCCTATCATGCGAGAGAGACTTTTAATCCCTGACTTCAAAGTTTCCCACATTTAGTTCCTTGAGCTTTACCAAATTGATATGTTTAGTCCTTCCACTATCATTTTGACATAATAAGTGGACGACTAAAAATGTAACTGTTATATTAATCGAGGATCAAAAGTGTTATTTTTATGAAAGGGAAGGATTAAATGTGAAAATTTTCAAAGGCGGGTACTAAAAGTATTTTTCGCAAAATATTCGGACAAAAGTTGAAAAACTCAAAGTCGAGTATCTAAAGTGTCGGTGACTTAATAGGCAGAGGATTGAAAATGACAAAACTCCTAATATATTACATATAACTATGATTGCTACTGTTTAGAATATTTTTAATTGAACTGATATTAATCCTAGACAAACTTAAATCGAATAGATCATATCAAACTTCGATAATTGTATAATACACAGAGTAAACATCCGCTAGACCACGTTAGATTAGAACAAATTTAGACATACCCAACCAACCCAGATCAGACCAGATGGTCCAGATCTGACAAAAAACTTTCAGTCTAATTAAAAACATTCTTATTGAATTGACATTATAATTATAAATTAATGTCCCTAATAAATGAATTTATGCCAAATTAATTTGTATACTTCGAATTTCAAAAATTTCAGTCTTATAAATTAATGTCTCCAAAATTATTACTTTAGTAAAATACACATTTAATAGTCGTTCATCAGATCTAACTTAAACAAATTTGATCATATTCTTTTAAATTTAACATATGTAATATTGATGTCGGTAGATTATATGGATCTCTTAATTTGGTACTCCCTCCGTCCCTAAAAGGATTGCCAAGTTTGATCGACACGTAGAATAATAAAGTAAAAACTGTGTGGTAGAGATTTGTGCAGAGGAGAGAGAAATAACATGAATCTCAAATTGAATGATTAAAAGGGAAAGTGGCAAATTTTTTGAGACAATCAAAAAAAGAAAGTTGACAAAGTTATAAGGGACCGGAGTATATTTTATGTAAAAAATGGATCACAAATCGAAAAGCTATGACACTTAATAAAAATAATAATTGTTGTCATATGACTAAAAGTCTAAAATCTATTGGATGGAAAATCAATTTTGCATTTGATTAAAAAGGATGACACCTCATCCCTGAGGGCCTCAACCCCTACAGAGACCCTATACATATTTTAGCATAGTAACCCCTCATCGCAGTTGTCGAGATTCTAAACAGAGATCTAACCCTTGTGGCACTCACTCGTTAACGCCTAAGAGTAATTTTGCATTTAATTAGAATGGATGGGGCGTGGTGTGTAAACTTCTGTCTGCCGTAGTTTTAAATTTATTAAAGGTTATATTCATCTTATTGGAGTTGCATTAAGTAAAATAAATTGATGGTGCGCCAAACATCACCTGAATTTTAATGAAATTTTAATGAAATTCCTGAAATTTGAACTTCCTGAAATTCTATGGATTTCAGTATATGGCCAAATTATACAGTAGATTTCTATAGATTCAAGCTCCTTGCTTTGGATGTGAAGAGGTTGCTCCGAGCCCACGAACGAACAAATTCGGCCACTTCATGGCTTCCACAGTATCTTTTACTCTTCCACTTTCCTATCACAACCTCCCTAGAAGGCACATATTTCTACCTCTTGTTCCGCTCAATTATCCCTCGTCTGGATATAAAATCGCTTCTAATTCGAAATCTCTCAGCAAAATATCTAATTCACCGTCGTCTCGTGTTTATGCCGTGACAGAACATGCTGCAGTGTTTCCATCAGCGTCGTCTTCATCCAAAGTCGTTCTTGTTGTTGGCGGCACCGGTGGCGTTGGTATGTACGGCACCATTACCTTTTATATCTGCAATGCTTAACCCTTGCCGTCTATGTACTTTGACACTTCACTATGGATCTAGTTCTATTTATTCCTGTTTTATTTTACTTTCGTTAGCTCAATAATACTATAATAGCTCTTACTTTCACTTATGTAATGTGTATTACTCTCCCCATTTTCATTTACTTGTTCCGTTTTTTCTTTAATGAAGAAATCAATTGCCCCTTCCACTTTCCCCTTGATAGAAAAAAATTCTTTGTCTAAATGTTCAAATAGGCCCCTTACCGGTAGTTAAGCTCAAATCAGTCTCTTAGCTAAAAAAAGGTTCAATTCGCAACCTGAACCGACAAAAAATGGTTCAAATTTCATTTTTTACGGGTAAACAGCCGGCCATTTTTTAATTTTATTATTGTTTCTGTTTTTTATTTTTGATTTATTGCAATTTTGACACTTTTTTATAGTTTAAGGTGCGAATTGGACCTTTTTTACCAGTTGTTTACCCGTAAAAAATGAAATTTGAACCTTTTTTTGCCGGTTCAGGTGTGAATTGGACCTTTTTTAGTTCATGTACTGAATTGAGCTTACACGACCGGTACAGGGCCTATTTGACCCTTTAGCCAAATTCTTTTAATTTTTATGTCCTCTCTCATGCTTTTCACACTATTCGTAATTTGATGCATGCTTTTATATACGGAGTAATATTTTAGAAAGATAAAAGAGCGATCAAGGAGAAGAATGAGGAGTGATAGTTGATTGATTTTATTCTGAGTTAATATTGATGGAACTAAATCCACCAGAAAATAATACTACCTCCATTCTTAAATAAATGCAACATGTTGGATTTTACACTATTCACATGTTTTACTTTGATTACGTTTTATTTATTAATGTATTAATATATTTTTTGAAAAAATATTGTTAATTTCGTCTCGTTGTAGATATTACTGTGAATAAATATTCAGTTTGGTCATTTACGGGGTTTGCTTGACCTCGTATGGACGCTGGAAAGATATTTTGGATGTAACCTGGTCACGATTGCTTTGTACGTACACACACAGCATGTACAAGTACTCCCTTAGATGGCCCTAATAATCTTCTTCTTCCATGTTCAGGGTTGTCTTATACTTCTTAGCAAAGTTTCTACACATCCAGGGTCACCATGCACACGTACTTCCTTAATAAGGTTCTGCTGCCGTGCGGTCATGGTTACCGTGTACTAGCAATCCTTAAACTCCTACCATAGTTCTTTCATGGTCACTGTGTTGTGTACTTGCACTCCTTGGACATCTACCATAGTTTGTTCAAGTCTCCATGTACTAGCACTCCTTGGACTTCTACTATAACACATTCATGATAACCGTGTAGTAGCACTCCTTGGACTTGTACCATAGTTTGTCCTTTGTCACCATGTAGTTACACACAAGCTTCAACCAATCCGCTCACTGTGGACATTATTTTATCTATGCTCGTTGGTACATGCTCTCATTGATTATGTTTAGGTTATATCCACCATTGACCAGGCTTAGTCCATAATTATTACAGATTTACAGGCATACCTTTACGGGCCAAAGTTAATGACTTGATATCCAGTAACTATGCCATCAAATACCTTTATTAGTTAGTTAATCTATTCTAAGAAGTGATTGTTTAGGAATTTCCTTTCTTGTTTTAGGCATTCATACTAAAAAGAAATCAAGGCAAAGAAAGTCTCCAAATTTTAAAGGAGAAGGAAAACTCCCTAAATTTGGATGCATACCATATTCTCTCCTGTTGATCCAGTTCGTTATGCTCCATGCAGGACAGTTAATCGTAGCATCATTGTTAAATCAAAGCATCAAAGTGAGGCTCATACTTCGGGATCTTATGAGAGCAAGTGCTCTGTTTGGAAAACAGGATGATGAAAAATTACAGGTCCTGACCACTGTTTAAACTTATCTTTCTTCTAAAAAAAGAAAATTCAAAGGTGTTTATCTTTCATTTTCTTTGATAGGATTTTTTATTTAAACGAAACCTCTAATATGGTTAGATATGGAAGGCTGATACACGGAACCCAGTGGAGTTAGATCCATCCATGTTTCAGGTTTGTGCTTAATACAGTTAGAAGCTTCCAGCTCTTTCATTCCCTAAATTTCCCTTCATATGCTAGCGCTTGCTTCTAGAAGTGCTTCCATCCTTCTCATAGGACTAAGGTTTCTATATACTACTCCGCAGTATGTTTTTCTGAAAGTTAGTTGCTTCTTTCTATCATGAGACTTACAGGGTGTAACACATGCTATATGCTGTCTGGGAACTACAGCTTTTCCTTCAAGAAGGTGGGGTGGAGATAACACACCTGAAAGAGTAGGTCAGGAACTTTGCTCATTTTAAGAAATAGCGTTCTATTGGAAACTCATGCAGTTTTAGTCGATTGCATATGTGATTAATTGCATTAATGCCTTTGGCTCAAGTTGATTGTTCTGTTAAGCTTGTGTTGGTCACAATGGAAGTTCTACTAGCATTAAATAACATTAAGCCCTTTTGGGAGAATGTTTTCGGACGAGAAAGAAGGGTAGAGACCAAGGGAGAGGCTTATGACCCCGACCCCCCTATTTTGGGAGCATGTGCCCCTTCCTAAATTTGGATGAGTCAAACTAGGCCTGGACCGGTTCGGTTCTTAGGCAAAATGTGTGGAACCATTTAAAAAATCTCAATTTTTAATATCAGTTCTGTTCTTATAAATTATTTTTAGAACTGATATGGAACCGAACCAAGCCTTAACGGTTCGGTTCTAGTCATTTTTCTGTTCCTAAATTTCTTAAAATCTCCTACAAATCACCGCTAAATTTGTGCCATATAGTGACATTCAACATTTGAAATTATAAGAAATACAAATACGTTCAAGGTTACCATCATTTCAAATCTCAAAAGTTAAGTGTTAAACGTAAGTACATAACAAATTAAAAATTTAGTAGAAATAAAAAAAAGACATTCACTACAAGAGGAATCAGTTAAATGCTTATCAAATTATCAACTCTATTAATTAAACTAAATTAATGAATTTAATATATAAATAAATATTAAAAGATACTCCGTATATGCTAATAACTAATAGATAAAACTTAACTATTATATAATGGTTCCTTAATGGTTCCACATACATATTTTTTTGTAGGAACCGAGAATCAAACCGTTACTAAAAGATAGCAATCATAGCACTAAGAACCAAACCATTAATAAAAAATAGGAACCGAACCGTTAATAACTAATTAATAATGGAACCGAGCCGAACCGGTTCATAATGGTTTGGTCCGGTTCGGTCTACCAGTTCGGGTTACCGGTTCTTGGTTCCACAGTCCCACCCCTAAGTCAAACAAGGTGAGGGCTTTTGTTTCATCCCCCCTCCCTCCACATCCCCTCAAGCCCTTCCCTTCCCACCCCAACTTCCTAATAAAAACCGCTACATACCCCTCACGTTTCTCACTTTCTCATGTCAAAATGTTAATACTATGGTCTTGCTCGTGGACTTGTCTTTCCTTTTGTGTTTTGGAAAATAATAATATATAGCTCAATTACTGAATGCTGTATAACATTTGGTTAGATCTTGAAGCACCTCTTCCATCTTCAGAAAATTCTATTAATTATAATTAATTAATTATGCCTACTGCTGTTGTAGATTGGGAGGGTGTGAGAAATCTTGTTTGTGCATTGCCTCGATCATTGAAGAGAATTGTTCTTGTGTCATCAATAGGCGTTACAAAATCCAGTGAACTGCCTTGGAGGTACAACTACTCTAATTTGTCTAATTTAACGGTCTATGGATGTCCTATCTTAAATGGGTTAAGAGGGAGCAAGTTGGGTGGTATTACTTTGAAGTACAGTTTATTTGGAGCATTCTCCTTAAATGGGTTTGATACTTTGATATGTGAAGAATGTGATAACTACGCGTATGCTATAGATCATATTATATGATTAACATACAACTGGACCCAGCAAATCTTTTGGAGGATGAGTTTTCTAGCATCATCATATCTCTCAGTTATTGATCGTGGTTTGGAATGTCATATAGCCACTTTTAAGTTATTGATCGTGGTTTGGAATGTCACTAACTTCTATTCTTCATTCCTCCTGCGTGCAGAGTAGTATTAGCATAATAAGCCTGGCAATTCTTTTTAATGGTCAAAAAAGAATATTTGATCTTTAGTTGCGTTTATTTTTGTTCACACAAATACAAAGATATATTTGAAGATTACATTGTGATTGTTTTTACAGTAAAAGTTATAATGAGGTCAGTGTCATCGTTTCCAGGGTTAAAAGTTAAAACATGTATGGACAAAAAAATTCTGATTACAATCATTTGGGCTGAAGTTAGAACTATTCAATTATTATTCTCAGGTTACATTCCTTGCCAGTTCATGAATGAACCACATTTCTCTTATTGGTTTCCCTCATTTGGTTTTTTCCCATTATGTTATGCAGCATCATTAACCTTTTTGGTGTTCTGAAGTATAAGAAGATGGGTGAAGATTTTGTTTGCAAGTCTGGTCTCCCATTCACTATAATAAGGTTCTTTATTTATTATACGTTTATTGTTCATCTCCCGTTCCTTCAGTCAAAGAGAATACCAAATATAAAACAATGGATTAAAACCACTTAACCAGCTGTTTTACTTTGGGTTTTACAGAGCTGGTAGATTGACAGATGGACCATACACATCATATGATCTGAACACTCTTCTACAGGCAACAGCAGGGGAGCGGCGTGCCGTTCTGATAGGTCAAGGTATATATTTTCTAGCCTGATTGTGCATAACAGTATGACTTGCTTGTTTGAATAGAGTTAATTCCCGAAGGTCAACAATTTCAGTTGAAATATCAAAGTTTACTTAAATGAAAAAAATCATGAAATATAATGCAAGTGAGCATTCCCGAAAGGTCTAGGTATGTTTTCACTAGGTCTTTCTACTGATAAAAAATTCCTGGGTATCTTTTGGGGGCTTCGGCCATTGGAGGCTTCGGCCATTGTTATTGTTACTGTTCATCTTTCTCATAAAGTTCAGTTTAAATTCTAGGTATCTTTCTGTAATTCCTGGATATCCCTATCATAATGATACCAAAAAACAATACAGATGAAATTTGGTACCTGTGTAAGTACTACGTTTGTCCTGAATAAAGATCATGTTTGACCAAGGTACAAGTGTACAACTACACATCTTTACATATTATATGTTGGTTTTACTAAATTATTATGCAACTTGTTTGTGACTCATTTTTGGCAAGCTAAAAGAGAAATTAGTTTGGTTTCATCAACATGACTACTTCTTTGGATAAAAAATGTTGGAAACATGACTCTTTTATTGAGGTGGGGGGAGTATTGATTATTAAAGATCAACAAAAGATTATCACTGCCTTTAGTGGCCGCTACCTAAAAGGAGAATTATGTAGACCTTTTGCCATGTAGTGATAGGAGGCCACAACTTCCTCTTTGTCTTTAATTCATCTATGGATTTCTTTCAATTGTTTGCAACTGATAACCAGGGGATAAACTTGTTGGAGAAGCCAGTAGGCTAGTGATTGCAGAAGCTTGCTTACAGGCCCTGGACATAGACTTGACAGAGGGTCAAATATATGAAATAACCTCTATCCCGGTAATTTATCTTTTACAGATTATAAATGAGAATATTCATGGGATTATAAATTGGGATCGTCGTATTAGTGTAATTTGAAATATCAAAATTTTATGAACCTAACTCAAGGTGTTCATTCGCTTGTTGTAAGTATTGCTTCTGAAATTGTACCTTAGTATTAATTTCAGTGGTTGCTAGGGAATAGACAGGGGCACGTTCTTGGTTTGGCTAGTATATTCAAATGTGTTGATCAAAGTGCCTCAAATTCTGCCTGGGACATAGCTAGCTAAATTAGCCTTGCAAAATGCCTTCTTATCTGGATTGCTGTTCTTCTATGATGGCAAAGTAGATTATATTCTTAATTTGCCTTAACATTAAAAGGATTTCTAAATCCCCATTTTAAATCCATTTTCCGGATGCATCTAAATTGTGCAGGGTGAGGGACCGGGAAGTGATAAGGAAAAGTGGGAAGAGTTGTTTAAAGCTGCTCATACCAAATAATCAACTACAATCTCTTCCACACCTTTCTTCTTGCCTACTTGCAGCTATTAGTTATGGCTAGTGAAAGCTCAGAGCCTCAGACGAAATATACATATTCCAGCCTGTAAGTTACTAATCTTTCTAATAGCACCTATAGTTTATCCAACAACCAAACTAAGTTACATATTCTTTTGTGGATTCTGGATATAAAACCTATCAAAAATTTGTATTCCGATCTACTTGATAGAAAATTCAAGTGTTGTCTGATATACATCCTTGTCTAATTGCATGATATTAATTTTTGGTTGCTAATGTGCTTGTCTATAACACAGAGATCATCTGTAGCCCTGGGGTCGAGGTGGCTGACTGCTTGAGAGTCAATCATGTAGACGGTTGAAATACCTTTAACGATAAAATGGGTCGTGTAAATCATTCGGAGTCGGGATTTATGATTTTTTAGAAAATAAACATTGCCTAAACATTGGGAAATTTAAGATTACTTGTCCTCTCAATTTTGAAGAGCATTAAACATTCTCTGGAGAGACTATAAACAAGATGTGAAACTCAATTTTAGAATGTGCACATGAGAAACTTCAATGTAATACTAGTAATTTATATCATGGATATTTATGCAAACAAGTGTCAATACTTGACTTTATGGTTACATTTTAAAATTTACTTTCTTATGCAAATAAGTGTCAATACTTGACTTTATGGTTACATTTTAAAATTTACTTTCTTATGCACTAATTATTTATATTAAACGTACAATACATATATCAAACTACCTCACTTTTCTAGTGTAGCCACATCGTATATACTGACTCAAAACTGCCCTTTATATACAGTGTACTGTTAACTTTTGACCCCTAAGGTAATATTCTGGACCCGGCATAGCGTAGCCCATTCTTGTAATTTTGGACACATCAACTTAACGATGGCATCAAATGTGAGGATCAATACTTTTTTGCGCATGCTAATTTTTGAATGTGCAGAATTTGATGTAATGATACTAGGGTTGGACTCGGGCCGGGCCAACCGGCCCGGAACCGGACCGGCCCGCTACTGTGCGGGCCCGGACCAGCCCAGTGAACCGGTTGGTTGGCCGGTTTGGGCCACCCGGCCCGGTGGGATGGCGGTTCGGACCGGTTAGATAAAAAGAATATATGTAAAATAAAAAAGATAAAAGGATAAAGAGTATAAAAAAGATAAAGTTGTATATAAAAATTAACCGATCAAACTCGAGCTAAACTAAGCTAAATATTGTAAGCATGCTCGAGCTTGAACTTGAGCTAATAATTTTTTTTCGAGCTCCGCTTTGATTTACATGCATATCCCACTTTTATATGCCACAAATTATATCCTCATTAATATATATTATTTCTGTCTTCAAATTCAATTATCATGTTTTAACACTTGTATTTGGACTATATCCCACTTTCTGCATATCCCACTTTGTGGCTTTGCTTCTTTTTTTCTGCACTTTTGCGTTTTGTTTTATTTATCCGGCATTCCTTATTTTGCCGAGGGAAGATTACACTCCTTGTGAGTGGTGTTTTTGTTTGGCTTAGCTTGGAAGGTTATTCCCAATTTTTTATTGTCTTTTGGGTTCGTGCTTTTTGCTTATGATAAAAATTGTGCTTTTGGGTTCTCTTTGTTAAGAGTATGGAGAAGCACATGGAGAAATGTGGCAGAATCACCATTGAAGAGGAAGAAGATAGATGGCTGGTTTTCGAACTGGTAGCGGTAGTGGGGAGCGAGGAGGCAGCAGATATGCTGAGGTTCATGGCGGTGACTCGGGTTGTGACAGAAAAGCATATCCATCCGATTGCGCTTCGAGAAACAATGACGATGGTTTGGCGGCCGGTCAAGGGAGTTAGTTAGTATTGAGAATATCGGTGACACAAAATTCTTGATCCAATTTTACCACGAAGGGGATATCAACTGGGTGATCCAAGAGGGACCAAGGTCTTTCAAACAGAACTTGGTGGTGCTGAAACGGCTTGGGCAGTTGGGTGGTTTGATAGGTCGCTCAAAGTGGAACTTGATCAAGCTGATTTTTGGATCCAAATAGACAATTTACCTTTGGGATTCATGACCGAGAAGGTTGCTAGCGGTTTTGGAAATTGCATCGATTCACTTGTCAGGATTGATGAACGAAAGCTTGGAGGAGCATGCAAGTCCATTATTCGCATCAGGGTAACCATTAATATCAAGAATGCAATGAGAATAAAGATGGAGATTAGAGAAGAAGGGAAATTTGGTTTTGGGCAGATTTTAGATATGAAAGACCCCCAATTTTTTGCTTTATGCATGAAGGATAGAGTTTTTTTATCCTCAAATCCAACTAATATATTAACTCAAAATAACGTTCATCATATGGCTGATAATACAATAAAAAAGGAAGTAAACAAAGTGATAAAAAGCCTTACGTCTGCCGTCCGCCCTCGAACCAGACTTAGAATATATCACCTCTGTAAAAGTAATAATATTTGTTGATCGTGTAATGAGCTTAACTGAGCCAATGACTATCAAACTAGACTTCTCATCACTTGACTTAAAATCTAGAAACTCTTTGCTACGAAATAAGAAAGCGTCCAAAACAACATGCAATTCTAAATAAAAACACAAACAGAATAAAACTGAATCAAAACATCGTTCGTTCATCTTCTTTCAAAACACTAGACTTGCTTGCATTCCATGGCGGCAGCTCAGGTAGGCTTGGACTCAAGTGTCTGACCGGTTTTTTTTTTTGTTTCTTGAGGCTCGGAACCGGCCCAGGCAGGTACCGGGTCGGGCCGGGCTACCCGGCCGGCTAGCGGGTTGGGATAGGGCTGGGCCGGGTACATTTTTTTTACAAATTAATTCAAGAATGGTTGGATATAAAAAAGTTAAAGTATATATATTTTAAATATGTAGTACAATTGAGAATTGAGAAAATATTTAAAACATGAAATATATTTTCTGATAAATAATAATCAATTGGAATCTCCACCATCTTCGATTGTTTCCACCATAAAGTGGCGGGTGGGGGTGATGCACTTTTCTTGAGTTCTACGTTGGGCCTTCAACCAATCGTGGAAGCAAACAAGCGTCTCAAGAGAGTTTGTGTTCAATCTCGTTTTATAATCCGTTAGCACGTTGGCAGCCACACTAAATTGTTGTTTCACGACAACTGTTGATATCGGCATTGGTAGCACTTGCTTAGCCATCTTTGATAAAATCGAGAACGTTCTTTCTTTTTCCTTCCACCACTTTAGAACGTCAAAGTCATTCCCCACTTCATAATCAACAGGAATTGTTAGATACATAGAAAGCTCGTTAAGCGAGCTTTGTTCATTAACGAGAGTTGATTTACTTTTTTTAATAAGATTGTCAAATGTAGATTTAAAAATTGATTTTCTTTTAGATGAAGATGTTCGTGTCGGGGGAGGGAGTGCGTTACCATATTGTGCATGAAACTCATTAAATAATTGACATAATAAATTCTAACAAATATGTTAATATTAGTACAATAGTAATGCAACTAATAAGAAATGTTATAAATTTTATTTTTTATTGAAACCTAGTATTTTTTAAATCTACCTAGTTTTTTAAATGAAAAAAAACTAATTATTTTTTTTATTCGAACTAGTTTTGCAATAACTAGCTTTTGTTAATGAAATGTTGATGAAAAAAATATAACAATTTTTTTTAAATAAAATTCGAAGTAATTGGAAGTAAAATTCGAACTATTTTTTTAAATCTAACTACTTTAATGAAAAATTCGTACTATTTTTTTAAATAAAATTCAACCACTTTTTTTAAATGAATAAATTCGAAGTAAAAAAATCTAACTAGGTAACTAATTGTTGTCTTACAAGTGTGACTTTAATTAATTGGAAAATGAGAAATGTAACAACTTACAATTATTAACTACTTTTATACTTTAATGACAAATATAGCAATGAACTAATACGAAAATGATATATGCAACAATTAACAACTTTTATACTTTACTGACAAATATACCAATGAACTAATAGGAAAATGAGAAATAATGTACCAATTAAGTAATTAACTAATATTAATAAAAAAATGTATGAATGTGTAAACTAAATTAATAGGAGTGTGAGTGTATAAGTAATACGATGAATTTAATTACTATTAATTAAAGTGTAACTAATATATAATATATCGTTTATCGTATATAATATATAAATATACTACTATAAGATGAGTAGTACACTTATATTTAATACTTTAATATATATATATACATATATACACTTAATATATGTATTTATAAGTATATAATGAGTATATAATTAGATATAATAATTGTTTAACTGATATATAATATAATGTTTATAGTATATAATATATAAGTATATTACTTTAAGATGAATAATACACTTATATTTAATACTTTAACATATATAAGTATATATTAAGTAGATGTAATATGTAAATGCGAGTAAATACCAATAATATAATAAGTAGATAATAAATAGATATTAAATAAATATGAAGTATATATTAAGTAGATAATAAGTATATATTAAGTAGATAATAAATTTTAGTAATATAATATACTCCGTATGTATTTATAAGTAGATAATTAATATATAAGTAGATATAATAATTGTATAAATATATGTATAGAGAATTGAAGAAGATGAAGATGAGGATGATTAAGAATATTAGAGAATAGAGAGTAGGAAGAGTTGGAGAAGAAGTGTAGAAAATTATTTAGAAAATAGGAATATTTATAGTTTTTTTTATACCCCACCCCCACCCCCAAACTCCCTGGACCCCCTCCCAGCCCTCCAACGGCTATAGCGCCGTTTGGGAGTGTTCTCTACGGCTAGGAGGAGCTGGATTTAGTTTTAGTTTTTTTTTTAAAAAAAAATTGACCGTTGAGGCATGGGTCGGTTCCTATTTTGGTGACCCCGAGCCCACCCCGAAAATACCCGGTTCGGGTATAATGCACCTGGCTCAGACCCAGGCCGGCGGGTCGGGCCGGTTCTGAATAGTAGCGGGCCGGTCCGGTCCGGTTTACCCGGCCCAAATCCATCCCTAGGCTCAGGAGGGGGACGCGCCCACCGCTCATCCGCCTCTATAGTCATTCTTTTGTATTGAATAACGATATCCTCTTTTGCCATCCCTTGCTGCTGAATCGAAACCATACCCCGCCACAGCTTATCCACCTTTTCATTGTCAACACTACAACTTCGACCGGGATCAACAGCAGAAGTCGAGCCATGGCCGCCATAGCGTTGCATCTTGGTCGTGAGCCTGCTTGCACGATAAAAAACGATCGTCGATCGCTCTTCGTTGATGAGAAAAGTGGAAGAAACAAAACCCTAACTCGTAGGGAGATGTCCGCTAGAGAGAAGACTCTCCAAATCCAACAATTGGCTGGAAAACCCCAACCCCGCTCCTCGGCAAAGGCCGATAGCGGATGAATCCATGCTAGCGGTTACCTTGCGGCAACCCTAGAGAGAAGGACGAGGGGCTTGCATGAACGATAGAGTTGTCACATTTAATAATATATTATAAATACTCACTCAACTTTATTATTTAATATTTATATTTATTAAATAATAATAATACTCCGTAATATATAAGAATATACACAAAGATGTATAAATTTTATCGTAATTTATAAGTAGTTTTCTTCATA